AGATGGGATACTCAAGAGCACTCACCTGGGTTATCCGGCTCAATTTCCTCCAAATCACAAAAGTGTGATACCACACATCACACTTTTATTTTAATGATAATAATCAGACTATGGTTCTTCCTGCGCAGCTAGATTCAGCGTCTATCAACCCCAATCAGAATGGCTCCTGATTGGACTACAATGCACACGATCCCCATTATCTAGAGCAGTCTTTCTCAACCTTGGTTGCTTGAAGATGTGTGGACCAGAGGTGGGTTGCTCCCTGTTCGGGCAAACTGGTAGTGGCAGTGGTGGGAGGCTCCACCTACCTGCCCGGACGCTTCTGTGCATGGCCAGAAGCGTCGCACGCATGCAAGCAAACCAATAGTGCCGGGATTTGCAACCCACCTCTGGTGTGAACACCTAGAATTCCCCAGCCTGAACACCTAGAATTCCCCAGCCAGTCTCATGTGTACTTCAATGGTCAATCCCTATCCTAAATTGTCCCCCCTCCCTTTCTCTTAAGAGCCAAAGTGTCTTGGCACTCATCTTCCACCCCTCACTTTATTTCAAGATTATTCTTTCCAATAAAGTCTTTTCCACTAATCCAGCGAAACCACTCCACTAGCCTCCAGAACATTTACCAGCATCCAGGCGGGCTGAAGAGATGAATTTGTCTAGCTGGCAGCGCAAGAAATCTCGTTCTTCTTCCAGATCTTCAATTCTTTTCTGTAGCCAAGAGTTCCTTTCCAATGCCATATGTAACTGGGTCTTCATATTGGTCACCAGAGTCAATGAAGGAGCTGGCCTCTCTGAAACATCCAAGACACAACAAGGGGGATAACATGGGGCTCCATTCATACAACATGCTGAACTGGGTTTGTGCAAACCTCTAGGTTAGGTTGAAACAGTTTGGCAGTCCCTAGTCCGGTGTCTTGTTGGGATATCCAATCATTCTCTTAGAATGCACTGTGAATCAGGCCACCAGGTTTAGCCGTGATGTGGTTGATTTGTTTGGATATAATACGGGGGTGGTTAAAGTTTGTGAACCCTGTCGAATATTCAATATTTCTGCATATATCTGATTAAAAATGTGGTGTGTTCTTCACACATGTCCTAAAACTACAGAGACTTCACTTAAACAGAGAGTCAAAAACATGCTACTGGTTCATTTATTAATGAGATAATGATTCAAAGCTACTTTTCCACGAGATAATGAAATACAGAATTAACATAGGCAGTCTGCAGATTCTCTGACAATTCCTGGTAAAAAAACCCTTTGTAAAATATCAGATAAGAGCAGTGTTTGCCTAATACATTGAACCACAAAGTAGCCAACCACACTGCAGCTTAGTCTCTTGTGCAAATTTCTACTTAGAAACCACGTGCTCTGTTAGGAAACTACAGTCTCTTGCAACTGCAAGGATTATGTAAGACAACACTCCCTCCCTATTCCCCAGGTTTATAGGAATCCATTAGGGCTATGCATAACTAGTCCTTGGTTAACAGCAACGTAACAACTAGCCTTTTGTTAACAACCATCACTAAGCAATGCAGTCATTAAGCAAGGCATTACATGACCATGACAGATTTACAATCTCATTTTTGCTAAGGCCACTAAGCAAACTATTGCAGATCGTTAAGTAAGATGCCACCATGATCATCCACAGGATGCCGCCATGATCATAAAAGCCCACCCGTTGCAATTTAGCATATGAATCTCAACTACACAACCGTGAAGACACTACAACAGCAATGTTCCCTCTAATTTTTTTTCAGTGTGAGTGGAAAAGTACAGTGTTTGAGCTGCACAGTTTCATGCCTGAGCATCCAAAAGAGCAACAGTTTGAACTGCTGTCACGTCTGTTGGACATTTGCGCAACATTCCAAGCGTCAAGCGCCAATTGCGAGCAAGGTTTCAGCCTGATGAATGCCAGGCATGAAAATGTGCCACTCAAACACTATACATTTCAGCTCACACTGGGAAATAGCAATAGCAATAGCAGTGGGAAAAAAGGCTCTCTGCTCACCTTTTACATTGTTAGACTGGCTAGAGGGAGACATGGCACCAACAGCCGGGGTCCTGGCATTTTGCAGGCAACTTGTCCTCTCACATTCCTTCAACCCATCACATTTGAATTGGATTTTGCCAATTATCCTATTAAAAGATAATCCTATTATTCTAAAATATGACTAACTCAATATTAAAACTGTAAATATTTAATGCTGATAAATAATAGCAGTAATTGTTATTTAGTATGATTAAAATCAGTATTGATATATCAATA